GATACCCATGCCCAAATGTCTGGGACCCTGTAGGCGAACGACATTTCCGTATGAAAGAAAACCTATCCTTGGAACCTCTCTTGAATGGTCATGCAAAAGTTATGTAAAATGGATATGTCGGGCATACCTTTGTCGAATGAGGGTCGAAAAGGGGCGTGTGGGATATGAACCTGGGAGCAAAGGGGTTGACCACGTTTTGTGGCATTTTGGATGTGAATCTTCATTGGTTTCATGTATGTGCATGTATGTATGGGAGCGAGGACTCGCTCCTAGATTTGAAAGTGATATGGATGAATGAGTGCAGGGTGTGAGTGACAAGGTTCAACGATGACTGTGAGAATGACTCTCCCTGATTTCCCCCGAGACTCGCCCTTTTCTTTTCCTATTTTGCTATTGTCGCGCGCATCTAGCAAGCAGGCAGGAGTAGCCCAGCACAAGGTTTAGCGCTCGACCTTTGATTGAACTTAGACTTAGTTTGGGTATGGCGAATTGCTCCCCAACCCGTGACTACTCTTATGTTTCTTCCCTCAGGGGAGGGGTGAGCAAATCCCATCTCAAAGGGGTTTTGCTTTTTAAATTATTAGTCGGACGATGGTCCTGAGCCTGGAATTCGAGGTTCTTGTCCGCGACATCCCAGACTCTCGTCTTACACAAGGTTTCCCCCTTGAGCCGGACCTGCACCCCTTGCGTATCGTCACTCACTGGCTAAAAAATAGGGATGCGGCAAGGGCCGAACGGCTTATCCTTCAGCCGTGCAATGTCGTGAAGGAGAAACCCTTCACGATATTTCGCTTTCGACACTTGAGTGTCGTACGCAACCCCAAAACCCATGCGAGGTTGCGCGGATATGGGTAACGCATGAAGCGTCGCCATGATAGCAGATTAAGTAAGAACACACGACTGAACATTATGGTTCCCATGGCAGTGACATTCTTTTTATGCAACTTTGCCCGGACCTCACTCAAACACATTGGCAGGTCTCAGTTATGGGTCAGGACGTATGAAAAAGTGACTAGGTTAATTTGCTTATCTGAGTTACTTTGTTTTGCCATGTATCGCGTGGTTAAGTTAGGATGTCCTAGTCGACCGACGCTGAATTGCACATTGGAGATCAGCGCCCCAGCGTAACGGTTCGCATACGGGTCCGAGCTAGGCGTGGACCGCTCGTACCCCCTATGCTACAACATACGAGAAACGCCCTGGGTTGGGCCACCTCCGCGATTGCAAGTAAAAGCTTTCGCGAATGGTTCAGTAGCTCGGCGGGGATACGCCCACCCAAAGGATGGTGACAACTCCCGCAGGTGGAGGTAAGTTGTACCTCGCGAGACCCTGTTCTGTCGTAGGGACTCGATGGAGGTGTAGTTGGCGCACTCGGCCGGAGTGGCTCCGCCGCTTCTCTTTTCGTGATCCGACTTGCGAATTCTGTCAATCCTGCGTGACGCGGCCGGGAAGGTTCCCCCAGCGGGGACCGTGCACTCGACAGGTGGCGCCATTGCTGGGGATCTGGGCTGCCTATTGAGGTCCAGAGTGAACGGACTTGGGTTTAGTGCAGCACGATGATCCAGGCAAAACGACAATTTTTTTTATAGTGTGTTTTTTATTTTTGATGTTGCCCGTTATGACCTAACAGAATGTCCCTATGGATCTTGTTAGGCCGAAAGAAAGAGTCTCGTTGTCATAATTAGAGATGCCTTGTATCAAGGTCTGGCGTGATAAGGATAAATTTGTAAGTGTAACTGTATGGTGCCAGTGATGTGAGGGTCTGTGAATAAGTACTGAAGGTTAAAAGATAAAATAGCAGGGCATAGTTTCCTAAGGTTTTTTTGAGGTTGGACTGGCTATGAGGGGAAGCTAAAGATTTTAAGGTGATAAGGTTGATCATGTATAAGTGTTGTATATTGACAGGGAACTGATTGTCGAAGAGCGAGATGGAGGACGATGAACTCAATCAGGCCGATGGCGCGGGTCAACGGTCGGTTACGTTGGGACAACTGGTTGCTCTACTGGATGGGCATGCGGTGACACGATCTAACATTTTGAAGGTTCAGATCTTCCACTTCAAAGGAGAGAAGGTGTCAGAGTGGCTTGAGTTGCTCGAACAAATTACTGATGAAATGACGGAGGAAGAGAAATTTTGCCAAATTTTTAAATACGTCTGGTGGGAGATGGGGCCGGAAGTTATGAGGGTAGCAACCAAGGCCGCAGGAAATTGGGGGAATTTTAAGGCAGAGATGTAAAGGAGATATCAGTTGGGAGATGGACTCCTTACAACGGAGGACTTGGAAAGGCTAGAGAGGTCTGATTTCACAACAGTGGGTGTCTTCGCGACAGCATTCGAGAAGATGGCGAGGAAGGTTCCAGGGTTGGCCGAGGAGTCCCAATGTGCCATCTTCCTGAGCAACTTCACAGAATGCGAGAGTGTTTCCCTAACAAGAAGAGGGGTCATAGGGCGGAAGTTGACGTGGAAAACAGTGAAGCAAAGTTTGGCGGATGGGGAGCTGGACCAGGTGCACCAGTTCCAGAAGAAACAACAACGGCAGAAACGAAAGGCCCGAGTTGTTACTGAAGGAGCAGGTATCAACCTTCAACAACTCATCGCAGATGGAATAGCTAAGTACCAAGCCGACCAACAGAACGCGGCAGGGAAACAGGTTTTGACAGTGACTCAGCCTCAGGCAAAAACTGTGAAGAAGGTGGTGGAGCAGGTGGAAGACGATGATGACGATGAAGAAGAAGAACCGGTAAAGATGACAAAAAGTCAGTGAAAGGCGAGGAACCAGGCTTTAGGTGGTCAAGGTTCGGGGGAAAATACAGAAGTACAAGTCGTCGCGCCAGCCCAAGTAAATGTCAATCAGGCAAATACGAGTGCAGCGCCACCACAGGGACCAGCGCCGGTTGGACCTTGGCCAGGGGCCATTCCTCCTATTTGACCGGGGTATAGTCCATATGGCCCATGGCCATTTTACAACCAAACCGGGTCGCCTGCGGGAGGACAGACTGCACATACTGCAGGAGGGTACCCCAATGCGCCAGCTCAAGGAGTGAACTGGCAAGTGGGGGGGCCAACAACAGCAGCCGACACCTCCACCACAGATCGACCAACCCGGTCAAGCGACGGGTCAAGGACGAGGTAAAAACCAGGGAGGTAATGGACAAAGCAGTCAAGGTCGAGGCAATGGAGGCCGCGGACGGGGTTACGGTAATGGTGAATAAGGCGGTCAAGGGGGCGGACGTGGAGGCAATTGAAATGGGCAAGGCGTGAATGATATGCCAAGGTTCAATTGGAGAAATGTCATTTGCCATCATTGCGCACTAAAAGGGCATACCTTCAGGTTTTGCCAAATTCGGAAAGTAGATGAGGAAAATGGTCTTATCTCGACGAACATGGACGGGGATGTCTATGATATGTATGGGAAATACATTGACCCCAAGATAGCAGGTGGTATGCGAAAGGAGGCATAACGTCGTGCCGAACTAGCTCCGCCACCACCGACCACGTTTCGACTCTGGCAAGAGGAGATGTTAGGTCAACGATAAAGGCGGAAGAACTGACCAATAGTGAGAAGATGCAGAGGTTGAATTTGAAAATGAGGTCCATTTGCGAAGGGGTGGCGAAGCCGATGGTTTATTTACTAGGCTCAGAGACGGGGCCATCGAGTGTCAAACCGGCTTGTCAGACCTTGGTATCAACCCCGCGATCTGGCATTACATTTCGACCTCCTCGAGAGCAACCCACATTCCCGCAAGCAATATGCACGAGGAGTAAGAAAGGAGATCCCAGTAGAAGTCAGGAACCTCTAACCGAAAATCAGTCACGAGAGAAGGAGTCAATTATCAACGTGGGGGACGAAAGCAAGGAGGATGAGGAAGATGAACGGCTAAGAAAAGAAGAGGAAGAGCAAGCTGCTCAATGTGCAAAGAAGCGGAAGCCGGAAGATAGGCCAGAAAGAGCGGCAAAATGATACCGCTCGCAAAAGCAAAAATATGCGGTACCATTCAATTTGGAAGATGGTCTGGATATTGAAGCCTTGGTTGATAGGCTTCTGAAAGGGCATAATAATCTGCTTAACTTAAAGGATATCCTGACCTCTGCGCCTAAGCTTAGAGAAGGATTCAAAACGTGGCTCTCTCGTCGAAGGGTGGCGAGCGTACGACTAGGAGATCTCATCCCTGTCGAGGCTCATTGGGCGGTTCCAGGGACGAAAATGGATTGGAAATCGGTCGGGACTGGGAGTGTGAACCTGAGTATAAAGGGTAAGCCGTGTAGCGGGATGCTGGATACAGGAGCGGAGATGAATATCATCAAGGAATCTGACGCACTCCGCTTAGGAATGAACATTGATCGAATGGACTCGGGTTTTCTCTATGGCGCAAGTAGGAAGACTCCTTTTACTGGGACGATCTCGAACGTGGTGATTGAAATCGGGAAAGTGAAGGTGCGGTCCCGCTTCTTTGTTATGCCCGATTTGGATAATCCTCTTCTGCTGGGAAGGTCATTCCTTTGCCACACTGAATCAATGATACTTAACAAGCATGACAGTACAATGTACGTCATCCTAAGCGATCCAGTTTGTGGCAACTACGAGATCATCAATACAGGGCCTCGTAGCATGAGGAACAGGCCAAACCCATGTTCCTTTACCTTTGAGGAATCGGAAGGGGAGAGGAGGAGATTAACGGGGGAGGATGAAGAGGAGTGTGAGCGTACTGGCGAGATGTGTTTAAGCCTAACGAGCATCAACGATGCTATGGAGATAGTGTCGTCATATGGGATGGCAGATCTCATTGCCGTATAGGCTTTGAGAGAGACAATAGTGGAAGATTCCGGCGAGGGAGAAGTGGAGCTCGTGTATCGGTTGCCGACAAGGACAGGAGAGCTAGGGGTACCCCAGAGCCGTGTTGCAAGTCAGTTTTTTTTAGGGGTGGGATCAAGCAGGGCTCCAAAAGGAAGTACAAGCGCGTAAATGAGAAGAGTCACCCCGTTCCTGTTCTCATAACTGCGAAAGAAGAGTTCTACTATGAGCAGGAACGTGAACTGATACGACAAATGAAGGAGGATGCAGAACATGGGCCGTGCCGTATCAATGAGAGGACCGAGAGAGACCTGATAATAGGAGAGTCAGGACTCCTTACGCCACAAAAAAAAACTCTTATGGTAGAGGTAATGAAAGAGCGGCATTGCGCATATGCGTTTGACGATGATGAGCGTGGGCGACTCGATGTGGATAGAGTTCCAATGATTCGGATCTACACTGTGCCTCATGTGCCATGGATCTTGAGAGGGTCACGCTATTCCAATCCGGCAGAGGAACGGAGAGTAGTCGACTACCTGGATGACAAGATTCATTCTCATGTAGACGACTACTCAAGTGGGCCTTACGCATCACTATGGTTCTGCTTTATCAAGTCGAACGGTACCCTGAGGTGGGTACAGGACCTTCAACGCCTGAATGAAGTAACGATACGAGATGCGGGAGGTTTGCCAAACGCAGATGCGCTGTCAGAATTTTGTGTCGGCAGACCCATCATTTCCTTGATAGACCTGTACTCAGGGTACGATCAATTCCCGGTGTATCCACTTGATAGGCCTATGACGGCGATGCATACACCACAGGGGCTGATCCATATGAATGTGGCGCCACAAGGTTGGACGAATGTTGTAGCAATAGTGCAAAGGCATATGGTTCGCGTTATGCAGACGGTTAGTCCACATCTTACACAACCATACATTAATGATTTGGTCGTGAAAGGGCGGAAGAAGAAGAATGAGACAGAGGTTATGCCTGGGGTAAGGAAATTCGTCTGGGATCATATACAAGATATTGCTTGGATTCTTGACATTCTGAAGGATTACAACATTACCACAAGCGGACTAAAGTCGAGACACTATATGCGGGAGACGACCATATTAGGCTTCGTACGTAACGAGAACGGTCGTCGCTCTGACATCAAGAAGACTAACAAGATACTCGAATGGCCGGTGTCATTCGAATCTGTTAGTGAAATTCGTAGCTTCCTGGGGATATGTGGTTTTTGGCGAGTTTTCGTCAAAAACTTCGTTGAGAAGACAGAGAAGTTGAGGAAGTTTGTGAGGAAGGATCAAGAATGGGAATGGGATGAGAAGCAGGAAGGAGTGGTAAGTGGTTTAAAAAGGGAGTTCAGAGAAGGTGGTCTAGTGTTGGGAGTTCCTGACTTCGAAGCAACGCAAAAACATCCTTTCATCGTGGAGACTGATGCAGGGCCTACAGCCTTGGGCGGCATTCTGATCCAAGCCACAAGCGGTTATCGGGTAGCTAAAAATCCGGGAATGAAAATTCTGAAGTGAGAGTTTTTGGCAGTCTGAAAATCCTGAATGGTCCTGAAGTGGTGAAAGGTCTGAAGACCCTGAAAACCACCTCTTTAGGCATGCAGCATCCTGAAATGGTTAAGTGAGAGTTTTGGGCAGTCTGAAAATCCTGAATGGTCCTGAAGTGGTGAAAGGTCCGAAGACCATGAAAATCACCCTTCACCAGTTGAGGATGTAGCCTGCCTAAACAGGTGGTTTTTAGGGTCTTCAGAGTTTTCACCACTTCAGGACCATTCATGATTTTCAAACCTGGATGGTTCTGAAGTGGTGAAAGGTCCGAAGACCCTGAAAACCACCTGTTTAGGCAGGCTGCATTCTGAAATGGTAAAGGGTGTCCTGAAGTGGTGATGAAAAATACGACTGTTGTTAACCTTCTATCATCCAAGCTGATGTAAATGGCGAGGAGAGACCATTGAGGTTCAAGAGTCAAACCTTGAATGGCACTGAGAGAAACTACTCACAGTTCAAGCGGAAGACACTTGCAGTTCTCCACTGTCTAAGGGTGTTCCGCAACTACCTTTTCGGAAGGAGGTTTGTGCTGAGAGTGGATCCGACCGCATTGGCCGGCTCTTTGAAGAACTATGCACCATCAGACCCAACCATTGCCAGGTGACTCACGTATGTGTGGATGTTTGACTTTGAGTTGGAACGCATACCTGGGAATAAGAATCGCGTTAACGAGCTTAGCCGGATCAATTGGGATAAGTCTGGCAATGGAGCTAATGAGGATATACCTCCGGTAGATGTATTCCTCGATGAGGAGGAGGTTGTGAAGCTCCATATCAATGCGCATGCCGTTGGGGTCAGTGGAGTTATTGTGCAAGGGCAGTCTGGTTTTCTTGCTCCTGCAGGGTACGTGAAGCGAGCGGATATAGTCCTCAAGGACTTCGTGGAGGAGGATCCTTGGGGAGGGAAGGAGGTTGAGTGGATGGCAAAGTTTGCATTGACTGAGACCTTCCAGTTAGAAGAAGATCCGTTGGCCATTGAAAGTGGAGCTCACTCGACACTCACGCGAAGTATGTGGCGGATGTCAGTTTCCTCGTCAACTCAATTGTCCAAATACACGAGGATGGAGAAGGGAGTGGAGACCCTATGAGAGATATGGAAGAGAACGAGTTCGAGGAAGGAGAGATAACGAAGGTTTTTTGCGCAGATGAGTACGATGGCGTATACCTTGAATTAGGTTTGCTTCTCTCATGTGAGATCAGAGAGAGAGAAGCAACTAAGAAGGTACTCGAGATGCGACCTCGCTTTTTAGTCCGGGATGGACACCTTTTCATCGAAAAGGAGGTTGGCAACCCGAGGAGGGTGATCTGCGGCCGAAATTGTCACATAAACGTTATAGCCGCACTTCATAACGGACGCGCAGGTGGTCATAGAGCGTTCGCCTTGACATATGTAAAGGTGCGAGAGTTTTACTACTGGGAAGGAATGAGTGAGATGATTCGCAAGTATTGCGAGTCATGTATTCCATGTCAAATCAGGGCATCGACTATGTACAAGGAGCCATTGCACCCACGGATTGTACGTGATGCAGGGGCAGTGGTTCATCTGGACCTATTGGCAATGCCTCAGGGTGTGGACGGCTACAACTACATCTTCGACGCGCGGGACAATCTTACGGGGTTTGTCAATGGGCGAGCATTCGCATCAGGACGGGCGAAACATTGGTTTTGTGCATCTCTGAATATTTCCTTAGATATCCTTTCGTAGTGGAATTCGTGACGGACAGGAGGTCAGAGTTCACTTGTGGAGAAGTGCGAACCTTGTTGCAGGAGTATGGCGTACAAGCCAGCTACACGACTAGGCCACATCCGCAGGCAAATGCTCCAGTTGAGAGAGGGCATACCACCATCACGAATCTACTAGTGAAATGGACGAACGACAGGGAGAATCAGTGGCCTAGGTATCTGCGCACAACATTCTTCGTATAAAATATTACGATTAAGAGATCCACGAAGTACGCACCAGCAACGCTATGGTATGGAAGGCATGCCACACTCCTGATAGAGAGCTTTCTGAAGACATGGAGGAGGCAGGATATGGAAAGCACCTTGTCCTTCGAGGAATTACTGGGTTTGCGGGCCAGAAAAGTTGGCATCGCAGAAGAGAGGATCCAGGAAGCGGCAGATCAGGTAACCGACAGTCGGCTAGAGGATAAGGAGAGGTGGGATCTCCTCCTACGAGTCAGGAAGGAGCCATTGGAAGTTGACGATGTGGTGCTATTGTACGACTCATCGCTAGAAAAGTAGTGGTCGTGCAAATTGGACAAGCGGTGGTTAGGCCCGTATTGCATTAGACGGTGTGAACAACATGGAGCGTATAAAATTGAGGAGCTTAATTGCACGCCGTGGAGAGATTGGGTCTCCGGTACGAAACTGAAAAAGTTCAGAGCGCGGTGTTGGATCAAACACCCTTACAAGGGTATTTGCTCATGATTTTGTATTTGATGCTATATCGACGCCGGTCGCCGTGCCGGAGACAGGCCGGAGTAAAAAGTGAGAATTTTTTTGGCTTAGCGCTGTGAAGGAAATTTCTCGACCATTGAGGCCGAGATTTCTAAACGATCGTACGCAGTGATACGACGTATTCGACGAGATGTAAAGGTTAGTAAAAATTAAACGTCTCCGACCGCAAGGGCCGGAGAGTTGGAAGAGAACAAGAAAAGGTCGCGCAGGATGCGTCGACCGTGATCTGGCTCAGTCAGAAGTACAAGCGGTAAGGGAAAAACGAATTCTATCTAGTCCAGAGCCGTCGGACCGGCCGGTATAGGGAAGTCGGCAAGTCGCGCCGCCATAAAATCTAAAGACTACAGGAAAATTAATATAATCCCAGCCGCATGACCGGTTCAGCCAAGAAAAACAAACTACCTACCATAATATGTAACGGTCACGGGTACATCTTTCCTTACTCGTATGTCATGAGTAAGGTTGAGGGTTTCAGCTCGACCGCCCATATGTGGAGAGGAAGTCGCCTCTCGAGTGGCGACTTCGTATCCTCGTGACCATCCAAGAAACCGGTGCCTTCATCCCTTTGCAGATAGAGACACCGTTGCAAGTACTGATATCGCCCACATAGGTTCTAGACTCAGGCTACTTGAACTGGTACCCACCTACCTAATGGTGCCGGACCTCTAAAAATGCAAACGTTTATCTTCTTCTGCTCGACCTCGAGTACCGGGCACTTCTACCTCTGCATGGTGTGGTACCAATCTACCTACCGCTGGAATGTTTTYCCCGCCGTAATCCTCAATATCACGGTCACAGGTAAGTACCGGCTCTTCGGGCCTTCCAGTGAATCAAGTGCTCTTGCGGGTCACACACACACTCAAGCCGACAAGCACTCAAACGGGCAGGCAGACCGGTGAGCGTACGCGCACTCAGACTTAGAAAACGGGCTCGACTGAGTCCCACGACACTATATAGATTTGAGTTGCTCCACTTCTATCCGAAGAAGGAGCTAGCTCAATAGGTTCGGGTCTAGACTATCAAAGTATAGACTCAGGGATCGAGTCCGCCCGACCCTGAGCTAACTCCTTTTGATAGGGAGCAGCACTGGGGCCGCCCGTTTTCACCCCGCACAAGGGCTGGCGGGACTCGAACCCATGACCTCAGATTCGAAAGTAGTTAGAGTTAGTGTTAGTTAGCCCTCGAAAAACGAGGGCATTACACTTGGCAAGTAGGAGTAGTTGGTGGTTAGGTTCTTTCTTTTAATTTATTTTTATTTTTCTGTTATTAGTTAGATTCTTTTTTTTTTTTTTTTTTTTTTTTTTTTTTTTTTTTTTTTTTTTTTTTTTTTTTTTTTTTTTTTTTTTTTTTTATTCATTTATTTTCTTCTCTTTGATCTCGGAGCTGCTCTCTAGTGAATCCGCCTTTGTTAAACGGACAGATTCGTTTTTACGAAATCCGCCTACTATGAGCCCGGCGACCGAAGCTTTGGTCCGTGTGCTCGGGCTGAACACTCGTTGAAGGGAACAACGTGTACGTACCAACACGCGGACGGAGAGCGCAACGGAAAGGTGAGAGGGGGATATCAGGAAAACAAAAATGGGGCAGCGCGCGAAAGACATGGCGCAGAGGAAAACGAGAGGAGGGAATCGTGGAAGCTAGAAAGATAGCGCGCGGTAAAGAAGACGGTGGTCCCGCAGAGGAAAAAAAAACGTGAGAGGAAGAAGAAGAAGAAGAAGAAGAAGAAGAAGAAGAGGGAGGAGGAGGAGAAGAGGGAGAGGGAGAAGACGCATAGACTGAGAGTAGGGGAAATATGAGTTTCCTTAAGACGGCTTAGGACACCGGCAAGAGACTCCTTGAAAGAAGAAGAAAGTGACAGACGGCATAGGGTAGGGTTGTGAGAATAAAACGAGGGATTAGACCTGGGATGTCGATCCCAGAGCTCACTACCCATGTCTAAGGGTTTGACCCTTAGATATCAATATGTGGGAAATCGAGTGGGGGTGTTGAATCTTTGTTGACCTGTGTGTGTGCAGATCCCTGTTTATCTATAGCATTTCAAGGAAGAGGTTCTACAGAAAGGATCCAAATTTTTGTTCTCTCTCGATAACAGGTCGGTTGTTACCGATTCAACTTTTCTCCCTTTGACTTGATACCCACCTCTAAAGTCAAACCTTGTGGTCAGTAAAATTGTCATCTGCGGTCTTTGCTTAAATGGTCCTAGTCACTCTCATGGGTCCTTTGAAGAAATGTGAGGGGGCTGGGCTTACGTCTCAGGAATGATATGGTTGTCATACATGGTTTGGGAAGTGAGGGACAAGGTCAAAGGTTGATGGTTGACGTCGTTAGTGCATGGCATGTGAACTGTTCTGGCATCATTCTGTGCAGGTCTGTTTTGTGCGTGATTTTTGGATTGAACTGGACCTGGTCTCTTGAAGAGTCTCGGACACACGGCACTTGTGAAAGTGGGAAGGGTTCTCGGCGCTAATATTTTTCATATTCATCATATGTCCAACTTAACTATTCTGATGTTCAGTTAAGTCATATCCTGTTAAGAAAGATAAGACGCTCTTTGGTAGAAAGAAGGTTTGATTGGTATTGGTCGAGAGAATAATACATTACGCAGTAGCGGAAATAGACTGCCTTATTAAAAGTTCGACCTGAATATCTAACGGGTCAGTTCTAGGCGTCTTACCGCGCGTACCCCATTTTATGCTACAGATCGAGTAAACGCCCTCGGCCGACCTACCTCTACAAAGGCATGTAAAAACCTTCGCATGTGGGCCGGTAACTCAGCAGGGATACACCTACCTGAGGGTGGTGACAGCCCCTCGGGTAGAGGTAAGTTGTACCTCGCGACTCCCCGACCTGTCGTGGGGTGTCGTGAGAGGTATAGCACGCACGCACGATTAGAGTAGTGGTTGGTTCTTTTAAGGGAAATATCCTGCGTGACACGACCGTGAGGTTCAGCGCTCTCGGTAGGGTGTGGGACCGCCGCGCGCGACAGCGGGACTAAGGTAAGGGTGACGGAAAAGCGTCGTGAGTTGATATAGTATTTGTTTCCTTGTCTTTTTATGTGGTACCGTGCATTAGTGATAGGATAGGATTGCGTGTTAGTATTTAGATAGGTCTTAGTATGAGTTTTAATTCGTTAGTCAGGTAAGTTGTCTGAGGGTATGAGAGATCTGTTTGGGTCAGTCAGTATAGGCATTCCTCATTCCTCTCCTGTGCTTACTTTTGTTTCCTCTATCATCCGTCCTTCTTATTTGTGCAGGGTTGGCTTTTCGAAGTTGGTCATTGTTTGGAGGGGCGAGAGGATGGCGGGACAGGAGGATGAGCGACTAGCCACGTCTTCAATACTGGATCCATTCCGTTACGATGGTGGACACGTATTTCCATTTTTGGACGGATTAGTTAGGCAGGTTAGGGTCCTTCGGTTAGATTTCGCTCAGATGACAGAGAGGGTTAGGGGTACTAGCAGCTATGAGGAGCGTGTGACTCAGATCATGAGAGAGTCATTGGATTGGAGGCAGTTCGTCAGACGGATGCTGAGATTCCGGCCTCAGCCCACTGATCAACAGGGTAGGCCCATGCGGTTTGATGGGGCTAACCTGGATGAGTTCCTTGAGGTTTTCATCATTTTTCGGGATGGGCAGAGATGGACTGAGGCATACAGGGTTACGCAAGTACGACATTGGGTTGTCCCAAATCTTAGACATGAGGTGAGCACCATGTCACACAAAGTGCAGGCTTGGGCGTAGCTTATAGAGACACTTAGAGGGACGTTCACCTTTGACAGACGACGCAAGCTGCACAGAGAGGTTGGGGATTACATCCCAGAGCTCAGGGTACGCCCGCGAGCGCAGCTAGAGAGGGATGAGGATGATGAGGGACGATCGCGAGAGAGGCGGAGAGAGAGTGGGCAACCAAAGATCCCACGCAGACCTAGGACAGGCAGGCATCGAGGATGTCAGGATAGAGGGGATGACCTAAAGGAGAGGGATCATGTGTTGACGGTTGATATTGGGAGGACCCTCTCGACAGTTGATGTGGGGGAGGAGGTCTTACCAACAAGGTCTCAGAGACGAGGTGACTCATCTATCCCTGAGACTGGAACATCACCAGTACCAGAGGCATGTCAGGGTGAGACAGGGATTAGAGATTGCGACCCTGGAGATGCACCTGAGCCCGATGAGAGAACGCAGCCTATGCTTAGACAGGAGGCTACCCCACAACTTGTGTTGACGATTGCTTCGGCCCGGCCTACAGAGACAGATACCATGGAGGGAGTGGTTCCCAATACTGCATCGGAGAGGCCTTATCGATGGAGAGACACACGGGACATGGCATTAGATCTCCCACAAAGGGAGCTACCGCTTATGATAGGGCCTGCCACTATAGTACTGATGCAGGAGCACGAGGAGCCTCAGCCTGAGTGGCCGTGAGAGACGACGCCGATGCATGATGAGCTAGGGTATGACGGGCAGAGGGTCCAATCTCAGTCAGAGCCAGCAGTGGAGGATGGTGAGAGAGGTGCGATGGGACCCTCATCATTGGACGGATCGCCGTTACTGAGCGAGAGTCGATTGGTTGAGCAGCCAACTGAGCCAGAGGGTTCATTGACTGCCCAACTATATGACATGGAGTCTCCTAGGATGCAGATGCGACAGAAGGTATCCCAACCCTCGCCCATGGACATGGAGACAGAGCGAGTTGAGGTCGAGGTTTTGGGGCTATTTAGAGAGGGTCTCACAGAGGACATGCAGACCCAGCGAGTAAAGACGACACTACTAAACTTTGGGGATACTCCACGGCGAGATGGTGATCAGGCTGAGGCCAGTATGAGGAGGCGCATTGAGGCAGGCACGGAGTATACCCAGGACGCATCTCCAACTCATGAGGAGGAGAGCTTGCCGGAGTCTCGGGGGCCGATAGATCACGAGCCTGTCAGGAGGGATGCATGGCTAGCCGAGGAGATGGGACGGATGCCATCATTACATTTTCCAGGCTGGCTGGCTTTTGAGCGACTGGGCCAGGCCGTGAGACCGCACTTGCCGGTCGATCAGAGCACTGGTGGGCTCAGGGTACTGTATGATGACTTAACCTTGCAGAGGACCTATATTGGTAGCGGTCTCACAGTAGCTCAAGAGACGACAGAGCAAGTTAGAGATTATACGAGGAGAGTTGTCATCCGATCTTTTGAGTTGAGTTGTGACAGGCAGACAGAGCACGATGCACTAAGAGCAGAACGATTGCAACTTGAAGCATTGAAAGTTGGCTCAACAGTATTTTGGAAAGCCTAAGCTGGGGGCTAAATCGGCATCGTTGGGGCAACCCCTAACGTGGGTTGTTGTCCTGCCTAACCAGGACAGCGGACCCCTAGCTTAAACTGAACTTAGAGACAGAGGGGTGATCTGCACCATCATCCATGGCATAAAATATATATAAGCGGGTTATTATGATTACTATTATTTAATACTACTTACTATTATTATTATAATTTTTATTATTACCATTATTATCATCATATGGGAGAGCTAAATTAAGCCAAGGTATCGGGTCACTCCAAAGGCTCTAACTAGGGCGACTGCTAGGAGGTACTTAGGTCCAAAAGTCAGAGAGTTGCCTTAGCATTGTGCAAACAATGTAGGCAATATTGTGGCTTAATGACATGTGGTTTGGTCCGATCAACCAAACTATGGTGGGCTGATGGCAGGACTATAACCCACCTGTGACTAGACGCAAGGTCGGGCAGAGTGTTTGATTTTAAATTGCATGGAGTAAGCTATGTGCAACACTATGCCTGTCACAAGTTGAGCTACTCAAGGGGGCGTGTTTTTTTTATAAGCCACCCAGAGGATTATGCTTATTTTGTTAACCTACTCGAAAGGGGTGGGCTACCTGCGCTTGTTATGTGTTGCAGTTTGTTCCACTCAGGGCACGTGTCCTGCCTAAAACCCATGCCCAAAGATGACAGCTTCTTGATAGCCCGATTCAGACCGTACCCAACGAAAGTCGGAAGGCGTCTAGGACAAACGGAAGGGGCTGGTCTGTGAACATTAAAGCTAACCTATGGCGGTAGTATAAAGAAAGTGTCCCTGTGAGTCAGACAGGAGGTGCAGGTTGAACTCCTGCTCGCCATAGGGACGCCGCAAAACTAGAAAACCAAAACCCCAAGTCAAGTCCTTCCGATTATACGAATTTGGTTATCTATATGCTCAGTATATGCATTCACATGTGTTTTCGTTCATAACTTTCTTCTTCTTACCCAAAGCAACGAGGACGTCCCTTAATGGGGTCTGGGAGGACTGTCGTAGCAAACACCCTTACAAGGGTATTTGCCGTTTTTTTCAAAGGTCGCACTGGATGCGTCCTTGATCTATGAAATGCGTTGATGAGGTAAAACCCGTCAGGGCGCTTACCTCGACAACCTCGCTCTTGGCAAGACTCCGAGTCGAATACGACCAAATTAGAGAGTATGTGGGGCATGCATTATTGCGTTGCACTGTGAGGTGGTCGTTAGTCATCGGCAAATACTAGGCTGGCGAACTGACGCCAAAGCCGTAGGGCCCGGTTACTCTCTTTTCTGTATTTTTTTATTATTATTATGCTTTTGCTTTATTTTATAAAGACTAGATTTACTTCACAACTAGTTCAGCCTCTGGCAGGACACGGCGCGAAGAGGATAAAAATTTTACCTTCCGCACAGGTAGGAAGTTTATGTTGGACAATGCGTCGAAAGGTGTGGCGTTGGCAGACCTAGTCTGGGGGCGGGGGGGTCTGGAAGTTCGACAAAGTATTTCATGCGTTCGACGGCCTAGATACTAGGCGACCATAAACCTAGGCGCGACCGACATCTTTTGACGGTCACAAGGTTGGCCGATAGGCTAAGGCGGAGGCCTGATTTGTGCGGTTAGGACCAATCACGGTCCTACGACTATTCATATGCAGGTTCACACTTACGTAGCGTAGCCTTGGACCTAGTTCTAATGGTTACGGTGTCGGTGCGAATACCCTTACAAGGGTATCCGCCCTGTTTTATGCAAGTAACAGAAAATAAGCCGGTTCGGATTTTTTTAGGAAGACCATGCGACTTGCGGTAGTGTGGTGACTATAGGTTGGCTATGAGGTCTAGAGGCAGAGAGTGCGTGGGCGTGCAGGTTTAAGACGCGAGTGATTCCGCTTCTATCTTTGATTATGAAGCCAGCGCGAACGTCGGTCGGTTTATTTTTATTTTTTCTTTATTTTTATTTTTGGTTACTCTTGATTAAACTAGGATCTAGGGGGTATTTTTTTTCGATGGCTATGTTTGACCGAGTTGAGCGCGCTGTGCGGAGAACGACCCCGATGGCGGTATCGGCAATGACGGCGCGACTTCGTGCAGTGAGCGGGGTGTCATAGGATGGCGCGCGAGGCAATAATGGCACGGTATAAGCAAGCCGGCGCGGGCACTGAAGAGCCGCGCAGCCGGTTTGTGGGCCCAAAACGCCGCGCCGCACTGCCTTGTATAGTACTCTGCGGGCGCTGGTCTCAGGCTTGGGCATAGCCCTATAGGTTACGACAGTGAACTGTTACTATGGAGGTTCGGGGATCGAGGCCATCGGGTGTCGGCGCAGCGGCGGCGGAGTAGCGTGGAGTGAAAGCCTGAGGGGTTGAGGGCCCTGTAGGGCTATCCCCCTCGGTTTTGCTTATGGGTGCAGCGGCAGGCCCAATCCGCGGGGCTGGCAAGGTGCCAGCAACCCCGCGGTTCCCCGGCTTCACCTTTATTTTATTTCCCGTTTGTTTTGTTAGTCGTAGTGCCTTTGTTATCGCGTCCCGTTTTGGGGCGCAGGCGGCAGTGGGGCCGTGTGGGGTGTGTGGCATTCGCGGGTCCGCCTGAAGTGCAACTACAAACTGTTTTCGTGGCTGCGCCAGGACCTCGCCCCACTTGGCCTTAGGACGCGGTGCAATGGGTGTGGCAGGCACCCAAGAGGCTGGCTCAGTGGGTACACCCCTGACTTGTTGAAATGCAGACCGAGTTCGAACCCAGATGGTGGGCCGTGATGAGCAAAACCAAGCGTCCAAAATTGCCTGGGCTAGTCATTCCCGCGGCCCAGGCTGTGTCCTTCGGGACACCCGTTAAAAATCGAAACGGTATTGAGAAGATTAGCATGGCCCGCGGGGTGACATGTATAAATTATGGAGGGGGGGGGGGTGTACCTGTCTGAAACCGGCCTTACAAGAGGGCCGGATCCGTACACGGTAGCGTGAGGCGAGGTGGTCGTTAGGCTGTTCRGGCCGCGAAGAGYYGTGGGGCGCTGCCRAGGCCGARGTCCTTCGGGACATYYGTTAGAATTGGAACGATACAGAGAAGATTAACATGTCCCCCGCGCAAGGGCGATGCGCATAAGACGGGGAGAGGCACGGGCATTTCGGTTTTTCTTTTTTTCGGAGTTGTCTTCACTCCCCCRCTGCATCACTCGTTGCTACGAGGACGGATGACAGCTGCGCTACGAGGCGGAGGGCTGGCGAACCGGGGGGGTACGAGGTAGTGGGGRAARGAACGAAGGTGGGCGTGAACCGGAGCCAGGTGCAGGCGGCGCAGAGGGATCGGAGATGGCGGGGAGGTAAGGCCGGGGCGCAGTGAGGAGGAGGTATCTCTCGTGATACCTCACGAAATCGTGCGGGGGAGGAGGTGAGATCGGGGTTTTCAGGGATCGCGAGGATTATGCAGAGGTTAGTTCGGCCGATAGGGTAGTAAATTAGGAGTTAGTTGAAAAAGCCACTGCGGGGAGATATGGCGGATGGAGGAGAAGGAAGGGAAAAAGCTATATCCCACCCATCCCTTGACGAAATCGGGCGGGAGCAAATACTACGAGGGGGGTTTTCGGGCCAGTGCAACCGAATACGTGGTTAGATCTGGCGATAGATCAGTAGGATTAGAGGTTAGTAGAGAAGTTAGTGCACCGGGACTATGGTGGAGGCAGATATGGTAGGGGATAAAATTAAAGTATCTCGCACGTTTTTGGCGAGATCGAGTGAGAGAAGATTGGGTTTAGGGGTTTTAACAAGCGGCGAGTGCAATGAGGAACTCAGATAGTGAGTTAGGGGAGGGAATCCTGTGTGGAGAACGGCGGTAGTTGCGCCCGGGGGAGTTGGCTGAACTTCGACCAAAATTGAGTGAATCTGGCCGCTTTTGCGGGCAGGTTCGCCCGACCTTAGTACGCCCCTTCGAGCAAGGGGGTGTAAGGACAGCCGCTGGAGGTGGGAGACTTACCTGCGGGACGCTCCGCTGCCCATCTTAGTGGTAGGGGTAGCAAGAATAGAGAAGTTTGAGGGGCTAATGTACATGGCCGGCAAGTGACGAGAGATTCGTTTGATTTTGCTCGGAGTAGGCCGGTCTCAACTCGCTTAAGGCTGGATAGCGGTGCAGCCCTCCCACGTTAAAACGACGGGCACATGCGACTCTGCTCGTCTTGTCAGCCTCCCTATCTCCTTGTGCACGGAGCACGTCCTAGCAGAAAAAGGCGGGGGAGGCACGAGAGTTCGGACTGGCTGCGTATACTTCCGCGTTTTAGCCGGAGACTCATCCTCATTTTGTACTCTTCTTTTGGCAGTCTTCTCGATCGCCCACAGTCCCCGGCGCCATCGGGGTCGACTATAACACTGCAGTCCTTCAATCCGTCGCGCAACTTGCTCCCGCAGCAGCCGTCCCTCTCAGCTGAGAGGCAAGCGACGACGTGAATCAGCGAAGGGAGAACCGGGTAGATTCGGGCGCCGTTTGCTGCAGGCAGGTAGAGATGGACATTTGCCTGACAATCGCACTCTACCCCCACTTGTTACTAGTGGCTGCGCTAGGAGTTTTCCTCCCCTCAAGTTGCAGATAACGAAGGTTGAGTGAAACCGGTCGGGGTTCGTGGCCAGGTCCATTCACCGTTGGGGAAAGAAGCGGAGAGGAGGAAAGGGGGCGAGTCAAAGAAGGAGTAGGGGGCATTTACTTGCGAGTGCAGCGGGTTTGCAGCTGCAGTGTGAAGGGGTGAGCAGAACTAACTTACCCGATTGAGCCGGTGCGTAAGTGCGAAGATGGCGGCACTGCTGCATTGAAAGGGAGGCGAAGATTACCCGATTGAGGGACCCCATGTGACAACTTGCCGCAAGACCAGCACTGCTGGACTTGCTGTATCTCCACTCTGCTCCGTCACGGAGCTCGCTTCGCGCTTTATAGTTGGAAGAGACGGCACACAAGGCGTGTGCTGTTTAAGCATGGCGGTACAAGGCCGCACGGTTCCCGGGTCAATTGGGGAGCTAGCGGTGAGGCGTAGGGAGAGCGATTAGAGGTTGTGGTTGGGGGAGGGAGCTATTGCTACGGTCCAAAGGGTCGTCAAGAGGGGTGACTTTGGCAG